GCATGTAGATGGTCCGAGATCCTGCTAATCGGCATTTTAAGGGAGTGTTTGCGCTGCCGCCGCCACAGCAAACCGAGGGTACGAGAATCCATAAATTGGCAATCTGGGAGTGCTTTTGCCACGCCATCACCATTTCAAAATGGGGGCCATGAACGGGCGAATTGGCATTGTTGGGAAATGTTTGCTATGCGGACGGCATAGCAAACTGAGGGTCTGAGATGCTGCCAAATGGCATTTTGGGGGAGTGTTTGCGACCAGGTTGGTAGAACAAACTGAGGGTGTAAGAACTTTTGTATTGGCGTTTTGAGCAAGTGTTTACCGTGCTACAAGCATAGCAAATGGAGGATCTGGGAACATCCAAATCGGTGTTGAAAGAGAGTGTTTGCCATGCCATGGGCACAACAATCCAATGGGTCTGAGAAACTATGAATAGGCAATCTGTTGGTGTCTTTTCCACATAGTCAGCTTTTCAAATGGGCTCCGACATTAGGCAAATTAGTAATAATGGGGAGTGTTTGCTATGCCGCAGGCATAGCAAACACAGGGTCTGAGATCCTGCCAACCGGCATTATGAGGAAGTGTTTGCTAAGCGGCCGGCACAGAAACGGGGGGTCCGAGATTGTGCCAAGTGATGTTTTGGGGGAGTGTTTCTGGCGCGGCTGGCAGAGCAAACTGAGGGTCCTCCGAAATCGGGGGGGTTCATGGGAGTGTTTGGTACGCCACCAACAAAACAAGCAACAGCCTTCTCACCAGTTTCCAAGGCCTCCTTACACAACTGCGGCCCGGTGGAGCTCCTAGCCATGGCTGCAAACTGAAGGAGACCCCAAACAAGGACAAACATGACTTACATCTTCCAGGTTACCACTACATTCTGTGTTGTAATGAAAAGCGCACAATCCCTCCTGTCCTGTGCCTTGCCTGATCTGCCACACCACACCCTCCCTTCTTATTGAGACTTCAATTCCCCTCAAGACTCCCCCCGCTGGATCTCCCAAACTTCAAAGCGTTGGCTACTCGGAAGCCATCCCCACCTCCCTACATCGCCGCCGCTGAACCCGACAGTCACGAGCACAGTCCACTGCACGTTGCCACACATCCTCGAGGGCTTCTCGTAGGAGACGGGCCCGCCACCAACAGGCGTCGCGGTCAGGAGTTGGAAGCTCATTTCTGCGGGCCAGACACTGGTCCTCGACACTCCGAACGCGCTCGAGCTGAGCAAAAAGGGCCGAAGTATCAACAACGGGGGTGGGCCAGGGAGCCTCAAGTCGCTGGTGGATGGCAGTAGTAACCCAATCGTATAGCTGCACCCTGCAAAGCTCTTCTGGGTGCGTCTCTAGAGCTTGCTCCAAAAAGCTGCCTGATGGATAGGCCACAAACAACAACAGCCGACGTTGTTGTGGAATGGTGGCGAGTTGCTTGGAAACGCGCCTGAGCGTGGGCAAGCACACTTGTTCCAAACGATCAAGGGGGACGAAGGCAATCACGTCCGAGGTCAGCAGCCCAAACCCTAGTTCCATGGCTAGTTGCAAACAAGTCTACAATGGACAAGGCCGCTGGACGGTTGCAAGTGTTGTGTCTAGTGTGTCAATAGCGTTGTGCCAAATGTACTGCCCGAAAACCTGAGGAGCTTTTTGTGTACCGTTTGCTGTGATGCTGGCAAGGAAAGAGGAATCTTCGACTTTCTGAAAACTGGCATTATATGGGTGTACATGCTATGCCATCGGCATAGCAAACGGAGGTCCGAGAGTCTGTCAATTGGCTTTTTGGCTGGATTGTAGCACGCCTCCAATAGGGCAAGCAACAGCCCTTCCACAAGTTTCCACTGCCTTCTCTACTCTACTGCTGCCAGGAGCTTCAACACACTGTTGCGAACTGAAAATTAAACATGTTGAATTAATTGTAGGAAATGGAACATGAGAAAGTAAAGATTAAGAAATAAAATTTGCATCATGAGGGTGTGCATGCTATGCCATCGGCATAGCTAACGGAGGTCCGATAACCTACCAATTTGCATTTTGGGGGTTCTGTGGTACGCCTCCAACACAACAAGCAGCAGCCCTTCCACAAGTTTGCACTGCCTTCTCCACGCTATAGCTGCCTAGAGCTCCAAGCCACGGTTGTGAACTGAAGATGAAATAGATTGACTTAATTGTGGAAAATGGAAAAAAAAGTGAAATTTGATTAAATAGTGAATTTTGAAAAAGCGACTGTCACCGACGGTCGCTGTGTTCCGGACGCACCCCGCAACAGTGTCCGGGTGCACGCGCAAAGGCTGGCCGCCCCTTTCTGCTGCCAGGTTGTCGGTTGCAGCTGGAGGACTAGAAACCTCCACGTCAGAGTGTAGTTGTAGAATTTGAGAATCTGAGTGAAGCCACCAGGCGTCTTGTTGTAAATCGTGGCTGTGGGCCGCCATAGGTCAACTACCACAGGTGCAGCTCATGAGCAGCAAACGGTGTCGAGCAGCAGAATCGACGAGGTCGCTGTAACCGGGTTGCTGCATGCGTCCTCGTTCGGCATCACGTCGTCCGGGCTCTGGGTGAGTTCCGAGGGAAATGTGCCAACTTGGTGGCTGGGCTGCACAATGGTGACCCTTGCCATGGCCGTTCAGCGTGGTTTGGCATGGTTTGCTGTTTGAGACCATGCGAAATGGGAGTTCCCCATCGCGCCTTTGACAGCGCTTTCTCGACAGGCCGCTTTGCGATCGGTTGCCAGGGTGGTAGGCGCCCACCGCCAGCCAACTGCATGGCTCCGCCCTCGAGCGGTGGGTCGCAGGCACACGCTGGCACTGCAGCGGCCACATTTTGGAAGCGCGGTTTGCTTGGACGCTGCTTAAGACCACGCGACACGGGCGTTTTGTACCACGCGTTGGGATGACGTTCTGCTGACAGGCCCTTGGCCGTCGGTTGCCAGGGTGGTAGGCGCCCACCGCCAGCCAATTGCATGGCTCCGCCCTCGAGCGGTGGGTTGCAGGCACACGCTGGCACTGCAGCGGCCACATTTTGGAAGCGCGGTGTGCTTGGACGCTGCTTAAGACCACGCGACGCGGGCGTTTCGCACCGCGCGTTGGGATGACGTTCTGCTAACAGGCCCTTGGCTGTCGGTTGCTAGGGTGGTAGGCGCCCACCGCCAGCCAACTGCATGGCTCCGCCCTCGAGCGGTGGGTCGCAGGCACACGCTAGGACTACAATGGCCTGATTTTGCAGTTGGCCGCGTTGCCCGACCCGCCAACGGTTGGAATCATAAAAGTTCACCGCCACCCTCCTCTCGAGAACAATCCCCAGTGTGGATCCAGCCAGCGTTTGTTGCTGTGGAGTGTTGCGTGAGTGCTAGTACGTACAATGTGTTGACCAGTCAGACAGCGAACTCGTGACTAAGCGAGTTTGAGCATTGCTGTGCTTCCCTCATAGCAAAGTCCTTCTCCCTTGTGTGTTACCCCACTTTGAAGTGTCAGTGTGTTCTGCTAGTGGCATAGCACGTTTCCTTTTTCATCGATGTTCACCCACTTTCCCCTGACCGTTGCTCTATGCCAGTGGCATAGCACGTTTCCTTCTTCTTCGGTGTCAAACCACTTGCCCATGACTTTTCCTGTGCACACAACACAGCAGAACATCTCTCCCATGGACGGTTGAAGCCAAGTTGCCCACTATTGGCATTTCTTGCTGCACAGGAGGAATGGACTCCAAACGAAATTAGCCAACGGCTTTCTTTTGCTCTTCAGTTACTGAGTTGTGGAATGTGATTTTCATGTTAGCACATCGTGTCCTGGTGGACGGAACTCCCTTGGCTTTTCCACATTTTGTCCTTGTTGCACTTGTGGCCTTTTTGTTGCCTGTTCCACCTAAGATCAATCCACTGCAAGCCCAACTTGCCACTCGTCCTCCAAGACCTCTTCCAATTTCCCACTCCCTGTTGACGGTTTGCTTTTGAGTGGCAAGCTTTGTAACATTCTCATCAACAACCCTCTGACAATTGTTGTGTTGCAGAGTTGCTACTAACAAGCACCAAAGCCATGGAGAGCATCGTGTGCCAGGCGGAGAAGTGTCTTGAACCCGGTGCAAAGTACAACAAAGAGGAGTGCAAGCGGAGGGGCTGCAGCAAGTTGGTTCACCATCAGTGTTCAGAAGCTGTACTCCATGGAATCCATCAACGTCTCCATCTTCTTGCTGGGAGCATTTCCCTGGAGTTGCTTTGCTCCAAGAGCTGTGTTGTTGAACACCTGAAGCAGCACCTTCGACACAAAGGGAAGGAGAAAAGAGATGAGTACCGTTACCTTGCAACACGGACGCTTGAGGAAATTTCTGACTACAAGCGTAAAAAGGCTGACGAAAGTAGGAAGGATTTGTGGGCCGAGCTGGCAAAGAGGTTTCCAGAAACAGTGCCTGAAGGCCAAGACGACATTGAGGATGAGGAAATGCCGGACGCCAAAGATAGCAACAGTGGTGAACAAGAGGATCAAGAAGAAGAGGAAGAAAAAGAAGGAGGCGAGGGTCGTGTGGAAGTCGTACAGCCCAGTGGCTCTACAGATGAGAACACGACCAAGGACGTTTCCACAGGCAGGAGTCCTGCGAAGAAGAAGCTGAAGTCGTCTAAAACTGCAGTGAGTAGCAATCTTTCAGGGTTCCAATGCAAACGATGCGCTGAGTTTTTATTGGAGTTCAGCACTAGTCGTGTTGCGGTTGCCTTTTTTCTATTCTGCAACTCCTTACCCTCAGTGTCTCTTGGCCAGTGCAACTGTGATCAAATTTTAGTGCTCACATCACAAAAACTTTGGCATTTCTTTCAGACTCGCCCCGCTCTGCACGTTTCCACAGTGCCTACGGCGCGACAATGAAAGCGATCGAGGAGGGAGGCCACAACTACAAATGTTGTTGCTGAACAAGTACATCGCAAGGAAGGCCAGGGCGAAGGCAGGCCGGAGTCAGCAAGCAAGTCCCTCGAACTGTCCACACAGCAGTTGTCAGATTTCGTCGGTGAACGGATTGGCGCCGCAGTGGAGGCAGGAGAGCCCAACCCAACTGCTCAGAGCTTGGAGGACTTTGAGGAGGAAGAGGTTGACGCCATCGTGGGTTACAGCTTTAGGGCGGCGGAAGCCAAGCAACTTGTTGTTCACGACGTGAGTGAATTCAGTGAATATGTGCCTCCGGACAACAGCGACGGGCGACGCAGGCTGGTGTACGACGAGGTGGCAACGTTCGTTCAACAGTTCTACGCCTCTCGAGCCACCGCCAGCCGTGAAGACACAGTTCGCAAACTGGCGTACGCAAAGCTCCTGGGCAAGGCCGCCTTGTACACTGAGGCAGGCAAACCTAGGTGCTACAACAGAAGACCGGAGCTTGAAACGAAGTTGCTCCAGCGCGTGAACGTTCAAGAACGTGTCGACGCTCTTGTAGAGAACTTTGACCTCAACGCCTTGACACCTGCGGTGGTGATCTTTGACCCAGAGGAGGAGGACCTTCTCAAAACGGTAAGAAGGCGCTGGAAGCGTGGAGATCCGAGCCTGTTAATTGCAGCCGTGGAGAAGGTGGACGAGCGACAGGCCAAGCCCCCTTTCTTCACCCTCGTTGGCAACCACTCGTCGGCCGCACATGTTGTGCGATGGGAGCAGGAACGAGCCACACCTCTACTTCGCCGAACCTACGTATTCTTTAAAAATCAATTGACGCAGGAGGACTTCAAGTTCATGAGCAAGACAGAAAACCTTGCTGTGCAACGGGCGGCTACTACTACGGCGTACAAGGGCCACACGGAACCTCTCAACGTAATCCCGTTCATACGCAACTACTGGCTCCTACACGGGCGCCCGGAGAGGTCCAGGAAGAAGGCGGAGAACGCACAGTACTTGGAGTTCCATTCTTTTCTGGAGGCCATTCTGGAGAGGCCAGTCGGCGATGGTGGGAAGGAAGATTACGAGCAAGAGAAAAAAAAGCGCGAAGAAAAATGGGACAGGAAAATTAGTGCAGCGCGGCGAGAGGACCCCAGCAACACTCAGAGGATTCGCAAGGTTAGCAATTTTGCACACTGGCACCATTTGCATTTGATGTTATTTTGTTATGTCGTTGTATTGCTGCTTGTTGACTGGTGTCCTCGCGCTGTCCACTGCATAGTTGCAAGACTCCAAGAAGAAGTCTTTGTCCGAGGCGGAACGAGATTTGGGGACTGTCCGTTACTTTCAAGCAGACCTCAATATTGCCATGCTGGAAGATACTGCCCATGCACTGTACATGGAGGTCCTGAAGCGTCTCAACAGCGGGTTCATGGCTGGCTTGAAGGCAAACCTCAAGACGGAGGCCAGAGTTGTAAGGCGCCACCACTACAAGCACACGTCCTCGTTCCCCGTACAGTTCTACACGGAGACTTTTGGCACACTGTTGTACGGAGAGAGCTTCAAAAGGTCGAGGTTGGCGAGTTTCATTGCAGCGGCATGCAATCCCAGGGACCAGGGAAGCGAGTGGCAGGCGATGTCCACAATGAGTTGGTTCCACGGCATTCGTGCATTCGCACAATGGCAAGCGAGTTTCCATGCCTTCAGGGCATTCAGAAATGGCCTGACGCAGCTGCTGCCAAAAGAGAAGCACGTGGACTGGGATCGCCGCGCGCAATACATCACAGGGTGGGACTGGAGCTGCCAGGACTCTAGGAAAGCGTTCGCGAACGGGTCGTTCAGGGTCTTCTGTCAGGGCCTCGTTCCCTCCAGCAAAGAACCCATTCCTGACACCCGCATCAAGGACCAGGTGCAGGATTTCTTTGAGGAGGATGTGGATGCCGAAGATTTCTACAAGAAGCTGATTGCCCGTGATGTGAGCAACAAGTCTTGGCTGCAACAGTTCGCAGTCCCCAGCAAGGCGCTCAATGAGAAAAGGACAGTAAGCGGAGGCGTTGCAGTGGCCACGTTCGTGAAGTTGATTGACGCATACAAAGAGCTTCGCAGTCCTCAAGAGAGGTCAGTTCGTGAACATCAGCTGCAATTTGACACCACTACGGAGACGTATTGGAACACAGCGATTGTTGTGAAGCGGATGGTCCCGAGGGGCAACCTGGTCCTGACAGGCGCCGGCAGCGGGCTACACGGAAAAACCGACAGCGAACGGCTTTTCGTATCGCCATTCTTAGACGTCGCAAAAGCGTGGCTGGCAAGGCAGCCATACCTGCTGTTCTCCGAGGCCCAGTTGGTGAACTACCTCGAGAGTGCTGTGATGGGGCCGCTGTTTCTCCTAGGCTACACCATCTGCACGGTAAGTGAGGAAACCTGCCATTGCAGCACAGTGGTCTACGACATTGAGTTTTTGGGTTGTCTGGCAGTTTTGCGCTGTGCCCGTGCTATGCCGGCGGCATAGCATAGCTTGTGTTCAGCGCCGTGACAGTGGCGCTGTTCCCCTTTGCTACAATTTTCTACTATTGAGAGAAATGTGGATTGTCTGGCAGCTTTGTGTTGTCCTGTGCTATGCCGGCGGCATAGCAAAGCCAGGGGTGAGAGTTGTGTTGTAGGCGCCGCTCCCCCTTGGTTCCACTGAATTACGAGTTGGAGAAAAGTATGTAGTCTGGCAGCCTTGTGTTGTGCCCGTGCTATGCCGGCGGCATAGCAAAGCGGGGGTCAGCGCCCTGACAGTGGCACTGTTCCCCTTTGCTACAATTTTCTACGAGTGGGAGAAATGTGGGTTAATACTGGCGACCTTATGTTGTCTACGTGGTATGCCCGGTGGCATGGCAGGGGTGCTTGCGGCGGTGGCATATTCGCTGCTACAATTTTCACGAGTGGAGGAGGAGGAAATGTGGGTTGTCGCGGCAGCTGTTGTCTGTGCTATGCGGCGGCATAACAAAGCGAAGGTCAGCGCCGTGACAATGCGGCCCCATTCCTACTACTACAGGCCACTACTAATGAGAGAAATGTGGGTTGTCTGGCAGCTTTGTGTTGTCATTAACTATGCGGCGGCATAGCAAAGTAGGAGTGAAGTTGTTGTAGGCGCCGCTCCCCTTGGTCCCCTGAATTACGAGTTGGAGAAAAGTGTGTAGTCTGGCAACCTTGTGTTGTGCCCGTGCTATGCCGGCGGCATAGCAAAGCGGGGGTCAGCGCCCTGACAGTGGCGCTGTTCCCCTTTGCTACAATTTTCTACGAGTGGGAGAAATGTGGGTTGTCTGGCAGCTTTGTGTTGTCCTGTGCTATGCCGGCGGCATAGCAAAGTGGGGGTCAGCGCCCTGACAGTGGCGCTGTTCCCCTTTGCTACAATTTTCTACTATTGAGAGAAATGTGGGTTGTCTGGCAACTTTGTGTTGTCCTGTGCTATGCCGGCGGCATAGCAAAGCCGGGGGTGAGAGTTGTTGTAGGCGCCGCTCCCCCTTGGTCCCCCTGAATTACGAGTTGGAGAAAAGTGTGTAGTCTGGCAACCTTGTGTTGTGCCCGTGCTATGCCGGCGGCATAGCAAAGCGGGGGTCAGCGCCCTGACAGTGGCGCTGTTCCCCTTTGCTACAATTTTCTACGAGTGGGAGAAATGTGGGTTGTCTGGCAGCTTTGTGTTGTCCTGTGGTATGCCGGCGGCATAGCAAAGCGGGGGTCAGCGCCCTGACAGTGGCGTTGTTCCCCTTTGCTACAATTTTCTACTATTGAGAGAAATGTGCTACAAGCATCGCGACCCGTGACCGCTTCTGGGTTGCTTTGCGCAGGTAACACATTTGGCAATGTCTTGCAGTTGTAGTAAGAACTTCTGCAATGCCAATTGCGTGGTAGGCCACCCCCTTGAATAGCGGATGCGGACAATGAGATGTGTCGCTTGCTGACCACCTGCTGTTTGCTGCCATCTTTACCCAGTCTGACAACATCGCCAACGACAATGTGGAGGATTTCGTTCAGCTGAAGGACACCCCCGCCAAGAAGTGGTTGGACTTCTTGATAAGGAGAGTTGGCCTTCCCCGCAACGTGGTGTTGAGGACCGTGAAAGACTTTGCTTCCTTCAGGACACTGGGGTGGAGATGGGATGTTTTTGACTTCTTGAAGTCCCAAGCACTGGAAGCAAGGCAAAGACAACATCCGCTAAGTGACATCGAAGGCGATGCTGCGATGGAAGGGCAAGATGATCCAATGGAGTTGGGTAGCGAAGAAGAGGAATCTGCCCAATTGACTGACAAAGTGGCGGAGCTGCGCGTTTCGGGCGAAGGACAGGACAAGGGTCACGACGGGAACCAGAACAAACGGGAGGCCTCTACTGTAGTTGAGCCGCCACAGGAGGGAGGTTTCGAAAACTGGAAAGCCTTCAAGGACCGTGGCGACCGGTGGACCAAGTGCCGCAGTGACACAGAGCTTCAGGATTTGGTGGAGTGGGTGGAGGACTGCAGCCCAAAAGACTGCGGGCACGCTCGCTCTGCTTTCGTCCCCTGGGGGCCAATGGAGTTGGCAAGGTTCGTGACGCCAAGGCTGGGCGTTGATTTTGGAGACGATTCAGGACCAACAACATCCCAGAAAGCCAAGGAAGTGTCTACACTCATTCTTCATGGAAATGCCACGAGGGCGGAAACATATGCTCCGATCAGGGAGAGATTGACGCGCTGGCGCCTAGAGTGTGTTATCGTGGACCCCCCGTTTGGTCTTGGGAAACACTCACAAGCTGATGATCCTTGGGACGACCGTGCCTGGACCTCCTCCGAGATGCGTGGGGTGTTGAACGCTCTGAAGGACGCCGGCCTGCTGCCAGAAGAGACTCAAGCGTGGTCCGTGGCCATCTACTTGAAGATGGAGGACATCGGGAGGATGGTGGAAGAATTACAGAGGTGGGCGGAAGAAAGTACTGGAGTTTCCTGGGGTGGCCAGTTCACTTGGATCTTCACAAGGGAGGGCCCCGCCCACCT